CCCTACTCTAAATTGGGCATACTGGTTTTACTGCTTTATTTAGTTGTTTTTTTTCCCCACTATCCATACTAGTTGGATTTCATCTACCACTTCTTATTTTTATTACTGTTTATAAAAGTAGCGATAACTCGTATTTCCTTCTATTCTTCTTTGCATATTATATGTATTTTAGGACTTCAACTTTTTCATGAGGAATCAGCAAGTATCATGTTGACTAAGGTGCTGGACTTCCATGTGGCTGAGTGCAATTCAAGTCCAGACCTAGTGGCTTCAAAATCACGTTGCAACCTGTATGTGCATGCCCCAAATCTCAGGAGAATGGAGGTGGGATTGTGATGTGGCCATACCCTCTGAGGGTGATTTCTCACTTTTCCTTTCTCTCTCTCTGTTAAGCTAGTGCAGTGCACAGGCCCTATGACAAAACCTAAAAAAAAAAGAAAAAAAATATTTTTCATAATGATTTATGAGGATTATTTTATTTACACACTTAAGGTTTTTTCTCATCTGAGGCTGCAGGTAGGGTAGTGATTAGGGCTCTGGACTTCCCCATGGCTGACTGAAGTGCAAGTCGTAGACCTGGTGGCTTGAAACTCATGCTGGGCACATATGCCTGCATGCCCAAGATCCCAAGAGGAAAACGAAAGCAAGCGAAGGGAATGTGGCAAGGCCTTCCCATCTGGGTTGTGATGTCTCGCTTTTTTTTTTTTTTTTTTTTTTTTTCTCTCTCTCTTTGTCTCTGGCAAGTGCACGCACCCTATAGCAAAAATCTCTCTTAAAATTCTCATCACCTGTATATGTCATAATGTAGTTATTTTTTTTATCAGATATTTAGTATACCATCTATTAACTGCTGTAATTTTTTCATAGTCACCATTATAAATTGTTTACATTTCCAAATAATTTTTTAGAGTAGTATTTTAGAATAAAAATTACTGGGTCGAAGCATAGACAGGGTTTATTTAATTTTCATATTGGCTTCTTTATAAATAGTAAGATAAGCTCAGGGGAGATCATCAAATGGTAGAAAAGTTATGCATTAAAAAAGCCTCCTTCTTATCCCAGGTCCCTAATCCCTAGGAAGAAGCCTGGTATGAAAGACACTGTTTGAACTCAGATGATTCCTCAGCAGCGGGAAGCACGGCAGTAACGCTCGTGGTTCTGGTGCGTGACTGTGTGCTCAAGGTGCATAAAGTTGCTCTGGAAGAATTGACACGTGGGACCGATAGGAACATCCTCTGTTTGCTGTCTGCTCTTTTTCACTTATGCATTTGCCTTTCGCCTTTCATATGCTACCCTCATAGACATCGAACACTTTCATGTTTTTAACATCTTTGCTACCTTCATTACTGAAATTTTAAAATACTTTTTAGGACCAGGAGGTTGAATATTTTTCCTTAGGGTTACTTACTGACTATATGTAACCATTGTTATTTGACTTTTCATTTTTATACCTTACTCTTTATTTGAAAATTAAGGTCTTTATATTCTTGCAGGTCATTTTATTTGTGCTCTTTATATATTAAGCATATTAACCTTTGTCATCCTATTGATTGAATATCCTATTTTCTTAGGTTTTTATTGCTTTTTAATTTTATTTGATTTTCAGAAGGGCAGTCAGTGGATTAACACTTTTATGTTTCTTTAATTCCCTTCTAATTGTGTGTTTTTTAAATTAATAAAATCTTACTTTTGTTAGAAACACTTGAAAAATAAAAAGTAAGTAGACTCTTCCCACTCTTTTCCTTTAAAAAATAGATTAAAAGGTTTACCTGCCCCCATGAGATGATCAATTTTGAATTCATTAAGCTTGTTGAAGGAGATTTGACTGTCAGAACTGGAGACTGATAGAACTCGATGTATGGAATTTTATCACTGCTGGCTGATTTTCCCATCCTGTCTCCTATGACAGTGTGAGTACCTATGTATGTGAGTGAAGGACAGTGAGTTTAGTGTGCAGTTGATAATGTACTGACTGTTCGGGGCAGCCCCAAGTTGGATGGGCATCGGCTCCTTTCTGTGTTCTTCCCATTTTAAGTGCTACTTTTGCTCTTACTTTTCAAGTTAGGCACCCCCTAGTGACCAGGGTGTAAAGGCGCTGGGCTATATACAATATGTTTTGCATTTCTGGCTTTTATGGGCTCTCTAGAAATGTTGTTCGTGATTTTCATAACTTACTCATCGATATCCAGTTTAAAGTTAGGATGAAGATCATTTAAAGATAAATGACCTATGAACCATTGATACGCTTTTTTATGACAGGGTCTACTTTTTGCAGCTAAGTCTTAGAGTATGATTACTAACTTTTCCCATGTATTTAGATCACATCATAAGCTACTAGGTTACATAAGCACTGTCTGGGCCAGATGGTGGCACAGTGCTGAAAGACACTGCTCTGCCAGGACAGCTCACAAGGGAAGGTTCAAGAGTTGCTTCAGGAGACCTCCCTGAGTACGCTGGGCACACTTGTGCCATAATCCAGGGCTGGGCGAAGTTGGGCATGGATCAGTGTCAGGACCTGGCAGGGGTGCTCTCTGCTTGTCTCTCTGTTGTCTGTCTCTCCTGCACATGAACAAAATTGAAAAACAAAATCTTTACATAACACTCTGTACTTTAGCAGAAGTACTTAAATTTCTCAAAGATCATAGAAAGGAAAAGAAGTAATAATTCAAAATTACGTACTATTTAAATGCTTGTATATTAAATATTTGTCTTTAAATTTTTACTGTTTAGTAGAAATTGAATTCAAATAAAATGGTGCCTTCTTATGTTTGGTGATCTCATGCCACTGGGTAAAGGACTGTGCTGTGATTTCCTGCATGGATGATAAATGTCACTCTTCACTCTCCTGGCGTTATATTCCAATAGTATTTTTTACTGTAGGTTCCCCCCTCCCACAACTTGCTATATTTTCTTTCTTTTTATTTTTTTTGTTTGTTTGTTTTGAGAGATTTTTGCTATAGGGAATGTGTGCTCACTACAGAGAAAGAAAGTGAGAAATCATTTCCCAGGAGGAATGGCCACCCTGCAATCCCTTCTCCTCCATTTTCCTCTTAGGATTTTGGGCATGCATGTGCCCAGTGCAAGTTTCGAGCTGTTGGATTTGGGACTCAAACCCTGGTCAACCACACTGGGAGTTTGGCGCCTTAACCACTATGCCATCTGCTGGCCCCTACAAATGGGATTTGTTGAAGAATGCACCAGTAATAGTGATCTGACCTTGACTGTTCTGAAGTCTGTGCTCTTTGGAGGCCCATCATGGCAACATTACTCCACTCTGCCTCTCATATTCAGATTCCCCCAATTGGTAGAACATTCTTGCTATGTGTACAGTGCTGGTTTGGCTCCAGGCCCAAGGTTTTATAAGTCACAAGGAATTACTGCAGGCTATGGTTCTTCTCAGACGGTTGGGAGATATTGCCACCAACAGGCAATTTTGAGGCTTCACAGTTAATCCTGGATGATTTTTCAAACACTCTTTAAAATTTGCCATCATGGTCAGTAAATCATGTGCTAGGGTTGGGAGTGGTTATTGGAGGGTCAGGAAATGGGGGCTATGGGTGTTTGAGGAATCTGTGATGAGAATCACCAGCAGGATTGCTTAGATGAAACTACAGGGATACTCCAGTTCGTGTGTCCCTTATAATGTGCTTTGGGGATGAGCCATAGGGAAAGTCTGCTGCTGAAGGAACATGCCATACTCCACAAATATATTCAGATACAGAACAGGGAAGCACTGATCTAGACAGTGTCGTTCAATTTGAAGAGGTTATGATATGTTTCTAAATTGCATTCATATACTCACTATCAGTAACGTATTTTTTTCATCTGTGAGTAACTTTAATAGAGCTTTACTCTCTTATTGTTAGTATTTGGCAATTTTGGAATGGGAAAAGAATGAAATGAATAGAGCAACTGAGTGTGTACAGGTTTTCTCTTTTCATGACAGATATGTTTTCATGAAAATAAAGAAAATACTCATTTTTGCAAATGCCATCAGTCTTTAACAATGAAAAATTCGCTTGGCAAGAGAAGTGGTACAGCTATCAGAATTGTGGTTATTGTTACATTGTATTGTTTACTGTAAACCTGGTTCAATATTGGTAAATACAGTGTAGCAGAAACTGAACTGTTGTGAGCTATCTGGGCAGTGGTCCAAGATATCATTAAAAATATTGCCTCAGACTAATTTGGGTTTATGAATAATATTTTGTTAACAGCTCAACTGAAATTGAGCCACATGGTGTAGCTTAAAAATTCTGAATCCACATGATAATAAGAGTAGTATAAGTGTAGACTGCACCCTCAGTGTTCTGTGTTACATCACATTATAAGTAATTGTGCATTAACCTTTAATCCATAAGCATCCACATGTTTAATATAACCTATGTCTCTAAAGTTTACATAATTTTTGGATTTGCTGTGAATTTCAATGCTTTATAAAGTAAAATATTAATTGGCTTACAATCAAGCCTGAAGTTTAAGGAGAGGTTACTGAACAAATATTAGAATGGGCATTTAATAAAGTTTTGGAATATGATCCTAAGAATAGATAGGGTTTACATTAACATACATCGAAAAGACTGAAGGACATAAAGTTGTTGGACAAGTTCAAGAACTTAATGCATTCATTTTACTAACGAAAGATAATTACATCCTTAAATATAATTTAGAAATGATTAATATTTGTTTTTAAATTGTTATAGGAAGTATAGCAAAAGAAATGAGGTTATAATAAGTGAGATAATTCAAGAAAAATATTCATATTTAGATATTTCTTGCCAAGAAAAAACATATTAATCTTTTCCTTCATGTGCTATTTTAATTACTTGAATTTTTTCTGAAAATACATGTAGACATTCCCAATGAAAGGGTATGCAAAGAGTTGATTTTCTGTAACTGTTAGGATGTAAAATACTTTTGCAATAGAAAAATATGTGCATTATGTAAAGAATGAATTTTAAATATTTCTCTTCTCAATAAATGTTTTATTCGTTTTCCAGGTTAGCACTCTATGTATATGAATATCTGCTCCATGTAGGAGCTCAGAAATCGGCCCAAACATTTTTATCAGAGGTATGTTTTATGTATTTTCTGCATTGCATTCATTATATAAATGAATGGAAATATAGTGTAACAATTATTTGAAAAAATGGATTGTTATATATTATATATAGTAAATGCTCAGTTACTAGTATGCACAATATAGTCTTTGTAGATTATATGTGAGCATTTTTACTATATCTGAATGGCATTTCTGTGACTTCTAGTCAACCTTTAGCCATTTTCCCTCCTTACAGATGGAAAGTAATAGTAGCATGGCAGCAGCAATCAAGAAAATTTATTTAAAAAAAAAACTCATTATATACTTAGTTCAAACAATATCTTGGTTGGGCATTCACAATTTTGGAAAATGTGATTTTTGTTTGTTTTTATTTTGTGTAAGTAATAATATACTGATTTGTAAAAAAGAATTATTTTATTTAGCTTTTATTTTATTTATTTACTTATTTTAATTTGACCAGAGAGGGACACAGTGAGTGAGCGAGCGAGAGAGAGAGAACAAGCAACCAGGTCCAGGACTCAAACCGTGGTCAGCCATGTGGGAGTCCAGCATCCTTAGCCACCTGCCGGCCGCCTGATTGTTTTTAGTTAGAAAACATCTTGATAATCTTATTTCAAGTACTTGGAACAGAGAGAGAGAGAGAGAGACAAAGAGAAAGGAACCTCTAACAGTCTTAGCAAGCCAGGATCACAGGTATGCCATGTTGTGCCCAGCATGTTCAGGTCAACCCGGGATCCAAACCCCAAGTCTTCCCATGTGGATCCAGTATCACTTAGCATTACTGCCTGTGCCACCATGGCTAGATCCACCCATCTTATTTGCAATTAATTATTATATGTGAACTATTGGGTCTATTTGCAAATAAGGTATTTTAGAGGTTTAGTCAGAAAACATAAGAAAATTGCTTTACTGTAGAAGGACTGTATGCAGTGTAATGAAAATTTGATTTAAAAAGTTTATTCAGGGACCAGCAGTTAGCGTAATGGCTATGTCGCTGGACTCCCATCTAGTCGATTGCGGTTCAAGTCCTGGATCTGGTGGCTTAAAACGTGTATGCGTGCGTGCGTGCCCAAGATCCTGAGAGGAGAATGGAGGAGAAGAGAGTACAGCGTGGCCAACCCCCCTGGGGGGGGTGATTTCTCGCTTTCTGTCTCTCTGTCTTTCTGACGAGTGCACGCGCCCTATAGCAAAAACCATTCAAAAAAAAAAAAAACACGCCTGTTCAAATCAAAACAGAAGTCTGGTGTATCTATGTTTCATTAGATGCTTAACGAGATGTTCAGCTAACCTTTCTAAGTGGCAGTCATTGTTTTGTATTATTACTGAAGAAGTGACTGAGATTTCCAAGAGGGATTTCCTTAATATTTATATTCTTAACCACTGCCAACTTAAAGAATATTGAAAAGAAAATGAAGCTGACTATAGAAATTTTTAATTTTATTTTAATGAAACTGAGAACTTGATGAAAGGATATACTGATCTCCTTCTCTCTGTTTTGAATTGGCTTAACTTGCTGATTCCTCAGGGGCTCCCAAGACTGAATTTTCTTTTCAGTATTATAAGATGTCACCAACAGTGGTTATTAAACTTCATTGAAAAAAGAAAAATGCAGGCTAACCCTGGTGGTTAAAGGAACTGGATCCCACATGGTTAATCATGCAGTTCAAATCCTGGACCTTGCGGTCTGAAAAACATGTCAGGTGATGTGTGTGTGCGTCCCAAATTCTAAAAGGATGGAGAGAGAGAACAGAAAGTATTGTCGTGTGGCCATGTTCCATGGGGGGTGCCTACTCCCTCTCCTCTCTGGTGAGCACACATGCTGCACCCTCTGGCATGTGAAATACAGACAGAGATGACACTAACTTACTAAAGAAGTTCAGGCTTTGGATTGAAATATGTTGTGCAGGTTGAGAAGTTAACTAGATAACTGCACTCATGAGCCCTGGACTCATGGAAAACAGATCTACAAAATTTCTAGGGCTATTTACTAGAAATAAAATTAGAATTTCAGAGGAGATTCACACATTTTGACAAGCATTTACTATGATTTTGTTTTCTCTGCCTTCATTTGGAATATAAATATGAAGATTTCTCTGATTTATTAGTCCGACTCAATTTCAAAAGAGAAATCAGTTAAACTGAAAATGAAGTTGGTGAGCTTTGCCACCCAGAAGACACGTGTCTCTGGATTTTGGAGATGAGTGTAGAACTACTTTTCACTTTCTAAACTGCCAAACTCTGAGTGGTGCTGTGGAAATATATTCTCATAGTTAAATAATCAACGTAGGGGAATTGGCTAAATTACTGAGTGTAAGTTAGATCTATTTGGATTTACATGAATTACCTTCTGAAACATTGTCTCATAAACAAAGGAAGCTGCAGTATGCCATTTATGTGGAAACCTTTGAACATAAAGCAATGCTTTATATTTTTGTAGGTATATATTTATGAGCATAAAATATAGAAAATCAATGTACATGCCAGACTAATTGATTCTGAGAGTGGGGATGTTAAAGATATTGAAGGAGATTTTTCCCCTTAATTGTTGGACTTTTTATAAAACAAGGAATACACGTATTATTTGGATAGTTATTTTAAAATAAAAATAAAGAAGAGAAAATACATTCTATTACGTTTTCTGAATTTAAAGATAGAAGCCTAGAGGTAGACTTGTGACAGGCCATTACTAAGTGTACCCTGTAGTTCTTGATCATTTCAACTGGTCAAACTTCAATAGCTTGCTTATTTCTCCCTCACATTTTAAGTTTCTACAGTATTTAACTGCTTGGGTTTGCCTTATATACCATAGAGGCTTCTTTCTGAGCTTTACGCAATGGCATATTCCCTCTACCAAATTCTCCTCTTTTTACTGCCTAATTAACTTTAAAATTAGCTTTTCCTAGGAAGGCTTTTCAGAGCATCATTTCTGTAAACTGATAGTATATTTTTAGGGTTCCTTACATGAAGACCTTTTCATACTGTGCCAGGAAATTTGAATTTGTATTGGTTTTCTTGACAAAAGAGATCTTTTGAAGTTTTAAATAAACAAATAACATCATCGTCTGTACTCTGGCATCTATATGACCGTCCCACTAAACTGTGGCTTAAAACTCCTGCTGGGTATATGTGCATGCATGCCCCAAATCCTGAGAGGAGAATGGAGAAGGGATTGCTCCATGACCATACCCTCTACAGGGAGATTTCTGCCAGCCATTCCCACAGTGCACAGTCCCTATAGGAAAAATCTCTCTTAAAAAAAAAAAAAGAAAGAAAGAAAGAAAAAGAAAAGGCGAGTGTAATATTTAGAGCCTATTTTGTACCCTATTTAGGGTTGCTTTCTTCCTTTGTTTCACTTAGAGCATAGGGAGAATTTAAGGCTGCTGGTTGTGAATGACTTCTTACCTATCAATAGTCTGAATAGTAAAGAGCCTTCCTATCTAAATCCTCCCTAGTCTTCCCCACATTTTTACCTAATTCAGAACTGTTACACAGACACTTAAACTGGGGAGAGCTACTTACTTGGCTGGTTATTACCATAAAAATGAAATGACTGAAATGGCACTATAGTTATTCAGATATCCAACGTTCTCACCCTGGTTCAAGGTAAAATAGAATAGTTTTTTCAAGTTTTACATTCTCCCACAAGATAAATGTGGATATGAATGATGGTATTGAATCAAGCTTTTCCATGCTAGACACTTCTTTCAATTGCGTAGTCTTTTTCTTATGTACAAAGATGTGAGAAGGTGGGAACCAGCAATTAGCATAATGTCTATGTCACTGGACTCTCACGTAGTTGACCGTGGTTCGCGTCCCGGACCCGGTGGTTTAAACTCATGCCGGGCGCATGTGCGTGCCAGCCCAAGATCCCGAGAGAAGAATGGAGGAGAAGGGATTGCAGTGTGACCATCCCCCCTGGGGGGTGATTTCTCGCTTTCTGTCTCTCTGTCTCTCTCTGTCTGGCTGGTGAGCGCATGTGCCCTATAGCAAAAACCTCTCAAAAAAAAAAAAAAAAAGATGTGAGAAGGTCACACTGGAGCTCCAGACAATCATCTGAAGGAGCCCCTCTCCCACCTGGATGTAGCCTTTCTAAAGTGCCCTAAACCTGGGCCGTCAGGTGTTGAACTGCTTTTGATGGCTTTCGTTATGGGTTAGAGGAGTGGAGGATATAATTATGTTTAGTCCACTTTTTTTTTTTTTCAATTAAATGAGAAAGCATTGGAAATCAAAACATTCTTCTAACTCTTATAGATTGTGCTAACTAACTCTGTGCTATTTCTGATTCATGACAGATTTTAAATCTCTACCTGAATGGTATATATAGTTCATTTGAATATTCTATAGAAATATTATCAATAAAAGCCCTTCTGCTTTATCTTTTTTATCCTTCAGCATTCAATAATTACAAACAGCTAAGAAATATTTTCTATTCTGTATCAGTTTCTATTACTTTGGATTCATTAGAAGCTATGTTTTTCCTAATTATATTGCTTCATTATATGGAGATCATATGCTCATTTCTGAAGTTTTGCATGGTATTCATGCCTTAGAATGAGGCTTAATGTCCTTAACAAATACAATGAAAAATCAGAGTGGTAGAGAGATTCTAGACTTTTTTCTCCTTCTTAAAATTTTTGTATTTTTTTTACTGTATGTGTCATACTGTACTATGAGGCCTCATTTGTCATAAATTACCCAACACATTAGTCTGAAATAGAAGCTTAAGAACATGTTATGGATTGCTTCTTCAGATTCTATTCAGAATGCTAAGTTATTGACCACCATAGACTCTAAAATTCTATTCTCTCTTTTACCTGTATGAAGTAAAGAGAAAAAATGATAGTTATTTTTTTCTATTATTTAATTTGGAGGCAATGTAGTATAGTAGGTAGGAACACTTATTTGGGCCAGAATACCTTTGAATTATGTGCACATCTTATTTATTTACTTACTCGTTTTTTGTTTTGTTTTTCAGTTATAGAGACACTAGTAATATTGGGTCATCAAGAAG